ACTTCAGACTGTGCAATGAATCAGATCTTTAAAACAAAAAAAGAAAGGGCTTGACGGCTCTTTGGAAACGAAGGATTTAGCTAGAAAAAGGTTAGAAAAAGGGCACGAGTTGAAATATTACCTTGGAAGTTACAAAAATCCCAGCTAGGGCATACCAAGCACGGTTATTCATATCCCCCTCCCCCTCCCCTCCCACCCTTCTCCCATCCCCTTCTTGCCCCCGCCTTGAGTTATTATTGCAACAAAACCTCGTTCACCATATGCGCTGTGTGTGTCCATTAGTCCTCTCAACATATTTCATATTTCTCAAAAACAGCCGTTATCCAAGGTTTATGTGCAGAAGGTGAGAAATGTCTTCCCTCCCAGCAAAATTCACTTTTTTCCGATTTCCAGGGTATAGCAGATAACCTCACATTTATCCCAGAGAATAAGTTAGTCCAAGCATGCATCATTCGATTACACAATACACAGATTTAAAAGGACTTACTTTACAAGAATTTCGCAACTGTTTGATAATTCGATCCAATTTCGTGAACTCTTTTTGATCAAAATAAAGCTTTCCAAGTTTTGTGTTTGTCTTAAACCACAGTCGCTCATTCTTTGCATCCTGAAACGCAAAAAAATGAAAATAGAACTTATAGAAGATGGATCAAAAAAACTGACTTAAAATTTAGGATTGTGTAACCCTATAATTGCACCTATTCCCTTCCTCCCACTAATTCTTAACACTTCGACCTACTTCCCTTCACTCACTAACTTCTAACAGTTCTAGCAAATTCTAAATAATTCCATATTACCTACCTTCTCACCCACTAACTAACTTGCCCTCCTTTCCCCTCGAGGTAATTTTCCCCGTATAAACCTCTTCCTAAATCCCAGTCTCTTTGGGAAATCAACACGATCGACAAAGACACTCGTCCGCTACGTCCTGCTGCTAACGTTTTAGCGTCTTGCCTCAACGCCGCCAGCGTTCTGCTGAACAGCTTGTGCGGCGTCCCGGCTCGTCGTTTTACGCGTCGTTCCACTTTTCATTCTATTTGAAGCGAAGCTTTTGTTGGAAGAATAAAGTGCTGGGATTCTTCCCTGTCTTCCGCTGCTGCAGTCAAGGACCACGTGTGGGCCTAACAATTGAGAAGGGACATCTTAGCTTGATTTTCCCACTTCATTCCCGAATTTTTCCGAAAAAAAATACACGTTATATGAGCTGCTTCCTACCGATCGATAAGATATACTGTTGTGATCCAGGGGTGACAAAGTTCGGATGAAGTGGTCATAATCAATTCTTACCAAACCCTTCTGACCGGGGGATCGCTACGCTACAAATCCCTTGGTGAGGCGAAACGGACATCAGAATCGCTAGCACAATGAACAACATGCGGCAGATTACTGGTTAAAGCAAAAACGGAAAGGGGGAAGTCACCAATTGAACAGATGAGCCATACCACTGAGTTTACAGATGTAACAAGCACTCCAACACCTCCTTTCTACTTTCCTCCTTCTTCTCTAGTCCTTCTATCACACAAACTTGTAATGAAACTTTCACACATAGTGGTTTGGGGGCTACACTGATGACTCCTGCCCCATACCTAGACAGTATGTGTTTGTAGCTGCTTGTAGTGTTTGTAGCTTAGGGATGAAACACAGACAGCAAAATCTACATACTCCTTTTCACACACTCACAATACATGTCCATACCTTTGTCATAAAATATGCATCTATATAACTATCTTTTCTCTTCCCCAACCACTTCCCTCTTGTATCCTTCTACCATTGGTCACTACTAGTCGCTACAATTACGGATTAATCTTTACCTTCTATTCTCATCAATTTCCTCCAAAAAAACCCAATTCTTATCCCTCCCATTCATCACCTCACATACACATGCAATTTTTGGTCATTCCACCACCAACAATTTGACTCAATTATATCTAGCATGCTTCATTTTATTTCAGAAGGTTTGTTTGGTACCAGTCTGGAGACCCTCAGTCCGAAGAAAAGGACCACAGAATACCCATAAGACCTCACTAGAGGCTTTTATACCTCTTCAGAACTATAAAAGCATCTAAAGGGAGCCAATACAGTTATCTCTTAGCCCGGCTATAGGCATCTTCAAAGCCATCATACGGCACCCGTCGAAATTTCAGTACAAGATATTACAGGCATCCTCCCAGACATAATAAGGTACCTGCTGATACCGTAGACCTCTTTGGCAGATGTTACCGGAGACGCTAATGCAAACGACAGGTGAGCAGCGTGATAAATTCAGTATTTTTGCCAGAAAAATAAAAAAAAAGGGGACACCAAAATCAAAAAATGGTTGAGAAAAAATGAATAGCTTCGGCCACAGCAACCATGGAGGAAGGGGGGGGGGGGGGGGCAAAAGGGGGGGGGGGG